CGGAGGCTGGGCAGGATCCGGCCGCTGGCATTCTCCGCAATGCTCTCTGCAAAGGCTAAGGCGAAGAAGCACAACAAGCAGTGGACGAGCCAGGCGCAAGGCCAGCTTGACGATGTTTGTGCTGCACTGTGAAGCATCCGTTGCCTCTCCCAAGGCCGGTTTGGCAATGTCCTGCTGGACGGCAAAAAGCAGGTCCCAGAGACGGGGTGCTGTGCCATGAAGCTGTCTTGGTTGCATGTACATTCATGCCGTGAGGAGCCAGAGGACAATGCGCATGACCGCACATTGCTGCGGAACCAGGCAGTGCTGTTTAATCTGAGAGGCAGCTTGCCATTCTGTGAGAAGCCGCAGGCGATGGTTCAGCGCGGTGCTCCTGAGGCGGACAATCCAATAGGCAAGGTCTCCCCCATGTTTGCCGTGAATTTGACGAACGTGTGGGTCATAAGAGGTGCTCGTGACAATGCCACATGTCTGGAGGCCGAATCAATGAAATCATGTCCTCCATTCTTCGGCGGCCGCTTTCTAAGGAGGATGAATCTTGGAACCGGAATTGAATTGTGCCGTCCCCTCCATTTCCAAGACCAGCTGCTCCGTGTCGGTTGGGTTGTGTTTGACAGACAGTCTCAATCCATGAGGTATGCGGTTGCTCGCAAGATGCATAGTTTGATCGCCTTGCTTCGCTATCCACGTTCGCTTCTGTGGCTCATTTGCCACCGTCTGGCTGAAACGGACTCGTCAAGGCCATTGTCTTTTTGTTGGCGTTCCGCAGCGCAGCAAAAAGCAGGCTCATTAGCACACCGAGCAAAAAGCAGGAAGCCAAACCTTCCTCTGAATCTGTCCTTGGACGAACTGTCCACGTTGCCCTTGCCAGCAATGCTTGTTCGTGACTTGACAGCCAAGGTACAGTACACCTTCTCCGAACATGATTCCACATTTACTTGTGCGGCAGCTTGATCGCAGCATGCAGACAACGTCTTGCAGCGGCATCAAATGGCAGCGCTGACGTGGCATCTGAAGTTATGGAAGCTCAAGGTTACGATTGCTTCCGATGACCTTCTCTTGGAAGCATCTGGCGAGCCGGCAACGACAAAGCGGCAGGCCGTTTGCGCTCCTGCTCAGCACACTTCTTTGCAAGTCCTGTTTAACTTGGATCATGACGGCAGGGGGGTTGAAGGCAAGATCTTTGGTGTAGTGTAGTACACTTGTGTACAGAATGACAGCGAAAACTACGACTGATCGACTGCTTTCATTTGCACTCAAAACTCGTTGTACCTCGTGGCCATTTTGCTAAAAATCCTTCACTCCGGCATAATGCGGGGTTCTTTGTACAGGTTGAAAAGATTTGACCCATCATTTTGTAGTGGCGCTGCTTCCTGCACATATCCGGTTGGATTCCAATCCCAAAAGGAGGCATCAATTTTCCCCTCCGAAAGAATGCCTTGCGGGCCGGGCCTACGGGGGCCGGGTCATGTTTTCAGAGAGAATGGGTGTGTTAGCGAGTTGTACAAAACCTACACCCATAAACCCTCACCCCTGAAACGCTAGACACTAAACCCGAAAACATCCAGAAACTCAAAGCCCAGAAACCTTGAGCCCAGAAACCTTGAACCCATGCACCCTAAACGCCAGAAACCCTGAACCCCTGAACCCCTGAACCCAGAACCCAGAAACCCTAAACCCCAAAAGGCAGAAACACTGTACCCCAAACCCTCCCCACCCCCCCCCACCCCCGCCCCTCCTATCAGCAACAAGCCCCCGCCCCTCCCCCGCCCTCCCCCCTTCGTCCTAACTTTCTTCACTCTCTCCCTCCCCTCGTGCGTTTGCGGTTGCAGCTGAATCCTGAATCCATGAAGGTGTAAGCATAATATTGACATATATATATATATATATGTATATAGTATATATATATATATATATAATATATATATATATATATATATATCTATATATATATATTATGTA